ACACACAGACACACACACACACACACACACAATGTCTCTCTATCCGTGTGGGGACTTTCCATTGACTTCCATTCATTTTTTAGAAATTTTATAGTCAAACCCTGACCATCTACCCTAAAATTAACATAAACTCAATTCACACCTTGATTCTAAATCTAAACCCCTTTCCCTAAATTCAGCCTCCAAAGTCGAGGGGACCATGCTTTGGTCCCCACAAGGCTGCATTTTCCTGAAAAATTGTCCCCATCAAGTAGCAAAAACAAGGGCACACAGACACACAGACACACAGACACACACACACAGACACACACAGACACACAGATACACACACACAGACACACAGACACACACACACACACACACACACACAGTATGTAAATCTTGTTAACATATAATCTTGTTGAGTACTTTTGACATATGTAATTATTCAGTCTTTTGGTGTGCTTAATAACATTTAAACATTACAGCTCAAATGAATGAATGAATGGATAATGAATGAATTCATTGATCCCATGAAAGGAGATTATAGTTTGGAACAAGACATATAGACAAAAGACAAATATAAAAATACAGTAATGTAAAACAACTTGGCTGAAGTGAGCAGATGTGTCCTTGTTAATGATGTCACCTCCTACCTGAATGCCATTCTTCATTGAGCTGCTCGTCAGCCTGAGGCTCTCCTCCCACACCATTAGAAAGCAACTCCCTTGCCTCCTCATCACCAGGACTCCCGTTAGAGCGTTCCTCATCCTCGTCATCCTCGTCCTCTTCATCATCCTCGTCATCCTCGTCGTCATTATCCACAGCCATCTGACTGTTGTCCCGATCGATCTCAGCAGCGATTGTGTGGAGAAGTTCTTGGTTTCCGTCCTCTGGAGGGTTCCCRTTAAAGTCTCCTGCTTCTACAACTGGAGGGCTCCTCGCCATGTCGCCCTCTTCCTGCAGCAGCCTCTCCATGGAGGCCCTGATGTCCCGCAGATCTTCATCTTCATATCCACTGAGGAACGCACAGAACGCTATTACATTTGAAAATTCACAGGAGTTATCTGTCATCATTACATTTTCTGCCATCTCTAGTAGCAAATAAGCTTAAAGCTAACTGATGCTTCACAGTGCAAGCATGCAAAACAACAACACGTTACAACACAACACACATACAACCTAGCCTTTTAATGATTACACTCAGAGTCAGAGCAGAACGATTGTTTTGCATCTCTTACTCCTCAGCCTCAGACTGGTCGTCATCTTTAGCTGCCTCGTCCAGGTCCTCAATTTCCAGGTGTTTGTCTGGGGCCACGTCAGCCTTACTGCTCACTGCGAAGTCCTGCTGCGAGCCGAAGAGTCGACTGAAGTCTGGTAACGAGCACGTCCGCAGCACCTGAAAGAAAAAAAAAACAAAAAAAAAACAGGAAATCCACTGAGATCAAACAAAACACAAGCATTATTACAAATACACAAAACATTCAAAAAGGTTTGAGAAATAGGCTTTGTATCGCATTGTTTAGTTTTATTATTTGATTACTATTGTTTGAAATTTATATATATATTTTTGCAAATAGGGGCAGATATAAGATTGTTTTCTTCTTCTGCTACCTTTCATTTTAATTGTATTGTTTTGTTGTATGTAAATGTTTTTTTTTATGAAATGAAAAAAATTTAATAACTAGAAGCACTCGGAGAGTGCAAACTTCCGCCAAGTCCAATTTCCCCCACCCTGTCTGAGTTAATGCACAAAAGCAGAGATGGAAACACATTTGCCGAATAAGTTCTGACATAGCGAACATTTAAGCAGGCAGTATGCACAGATTTTTTCCCGGTGGAGTCCAATGTGAAAAAAAAAGGAAAAAAGTCAGACTTGTCACCCAACATTATTGTTGAAAGCTTTGGCATCGGTGCCACGTGATTAAAAAAAGCAGAGTTTTCATCACGCGCCTAATCACACAGACACACACGCGTTTTCCTATCTTTGTGAGGACCACAACAGCAGTCACAACCACGCGCTGCACATTCTTTTTTCCCCAAAGTTTGGCGAGAGGTGGATAGAGGTGCACACAAAGAGCTCTCAACTTGATCTGGCCTCATTTAAATAATAATAAAAATGAACTAACAAACAAACAAACAAACAACCTCCGAGTCTGAAGTCCACCACGTCACTACTCTTCCTCARTCTTCATCGATCTGTGTACAAGCCTACCGACAATGTGGTGTGTTTGAGGAAGWGGGAAAAATAGGTTTCATGCTGCAGTCACRCACTTCCTGGACACAAAATGTTCTCTAAATGCACACCAAATGTGTAAAAATGTGCACATTATGGCAAGAATTATTCATCATTACATCTGGTTTTAACATTACTTTTATAAAATTTGAAGTCCAAACACTGAAAGTGTCACAGTGTTTTTACAGAAGCCCTGTGAAAGCATCACAGCTTTGCCGATCTGAGAGGATTAAAAGAAAAAAATTCCTGTATCCGCATCGTGACCCGGAACATCACCAAAATTTAAAAGGTGTGTTACTTGGGCCAGTAGCCACATGTGGTGTAAATGTCATGACACTCCATCCACACGTTTTTGAGTAATGTCCACAGACAKAACGACAGGCCGACAGACAGACAAGACATACGCAACCGAAAAGATTACCTCCTTGGTGGAGGTAATAATAATATTGCAACACATTAGAAATGATGAGCACTGCTCTGCAGGTGGCAAAGTCCCTGACAGAGGCTCTTTTTGTCCCATCAGACGTCCTTGACTGCTCAGGCTCATGACTCCTCATTTAAGTCTAATCTAAAACCTCACAGAGGCCTTTTGTCATGTCTAGCTGAATTTCCTGAAACACCTGACCATTTGTACAGCTAAAAAATGTATTAATCCTCCAAGTGTTGTCTGAAGCTTTCAATTTAATTTCCAGAAAAAGAGAGAAAGAGAGAGCGGCAAGCTCTGCCTTTAATCACTTTTGGGTTGTTGGCATCAAACATGCCCGTAGAGAGACTGATAAGGAGGGCGTTCTGGTTCTTGGAGCGCAGAGGTGAGACGGATCGTGAGCGAGAGGCCAGAGAGGAGGAGGATTCATCCACGGACGACTGGGCAGAGAGGACCGCGAGGGCAGCGGTGCGTCGGTGGGCCGGCGAGCACTTGATGAACAGCGGCTCCTCGTGCTGAGCTGAACCTGCAGGGAGCCGTGTAAGGGCGAGTTTAATGACGATTAGAACGGGTCTAAAAATAAGCAGCAGCTGGGCTTCGCTGTGCTTTTGCTCTTACATGATGACTCAGTTGGTTTCTCTGYGCTCTCCTCAGCCTCCGTGGTGTCTGTTGGTCTCGTTGCGCCCTCAGGTGGCCTAAAAAAGAAACATAATCAAATTTTATCATACTTTTATAAGTGAAAGAATTAATTTAATCTAAGACAAATATTTCAGGATAGTCAATAGTCACATGTGCAGTTCAGTCTCCCAGGCTTGCTGAACACTGGCTGGAGGGATTGAGACTTGTGTGGAACTCTCCCCCAACACCACTGACTCCAGATCTGCTGGGTCTACAAAGGGATTTGCTTAGATTAGACCRCACTGAAACACTCAGTAATAATCAGGTTCAATGCAACACTGACCCTGAAGATCAGTGGAGGTGGGGGGCAGTGGTGCATCCACCACAGCTAGGTTCTGATCCACGGCTGACGTCAGTCCTCTGAGCGTTTTCTCAACATCAGCTGCTGCAAGAAGCAGGTCATAAAATTATTTTGCTTGTATTTATGACAATGAATGAACAAATTTAAACAGGTTTTCTTAGACAGACCTGACATTTTAAAAAAAGAACGACTCAGAACATTTTTGACAGAAAAATACCATTATTATTA